GTCAGACAGCTGCAGCAGGAGCTTGCTGATGCTCTTAAAAAGCAATCTATGTCAGAAGCTTCACTTGAAGTTACTACACGCTATCGCAGTGACCTGGAGGAAGACAAGCTGCGCTTGCAAAAGGAATTGGAAAAGGTTAAAACCAAGGTACACAATGTCTGTAATTATATTAATAAATCTGAGAGTGGCTATTGAAAGCAGGAGTGGATGTTTTCCTAAAAATCTAGGAAAAGGATCAACAGGATAGATTTCATGATATGTGACTCAGTTGCACTGTTCTATAAACTTGGTGTCCATGTCTTTGACATGAGGACATTATGTCCTCACTTGAACAGAAATTTGTATTTGCTAAGGTGCTTTGCACAATAAATTGATTTGTTTATAGCTTATAGTCACTATAGGAGAAGGATGAACTTTTAAATTTATGTTTTCACAGAGGAGCAAACAAGAAGGTACAAAGAGCATCCTAAGTCACTGAAAGGGCAGGGACACAGTGTCGCTGCTTAGAGCCGTGCTGTAGGAAGTCGGTGGAGGGATGGGAGAGGCTGCTGTAAAGGAGGGCAAAGGAATACAGCTTGTGTTCATTTAGTAGTAGAAGGGAAGCTTTGAAGGTACTGGAATTGATTCCAGTTCTTTGGGCAGAGGGTACGCACGCACACGTGCAGCACAGGAGTTCTTCGCCAGCAGCTGGCTCCTCCACGTAAAAGCTCCCCTGACAACTGTGGATTCTTACCGTGATTTTACAGCTGCGGGCAGAGGAAGAAAAGCATCTTCAGTCTGAGCATTGTGTTCGTGACTTGAAGACTGCCTTGGATGAAAAGGAAAGAGAAGCAATAACTTCTGCCCAGAAACTGCAGGACCTCCTCTTGGCATCTTCCGAGACTGATACGACTATAAAACAACTGGAAGAACATGTGCAACAGTAAGAGAGTAACACGGTGAAGCGAGGTGTCTGTCGCTTTGGGGCATTGGGTGGAAACAACAGGATAGATAGCCGTGTTGCATCATAGCAAATTAATAAATGATTTTGAAGGATGCTGTTCTTTTGAAATTGGTGCTCTGGTGGATGTTCATAGTAAGACCTCTGTTTCTTTTTAAGCCTTGAAATTGAAAACACCAGATTGGAAGCCACTGTCCAGCAACAAAGTAATAGGATTGAAGTCCTTCAGAGAGACCTACAATCCTCTGCCTCAGTAAGCTGGTCATACATTTCCCTTTTTGTGAATTCTCAGCCCAGTTACTATTTCTGTGGGGAAATTTTAAAATGAGGTTTTGCCGGAGAGCCTAAGGGAACTCAGATCCTGCATTCTCCTGAACGGAGGCTGCTTGGAAAGCAGCATGCGCCACTCCCCAGCTTCCTGGTTTTAAGTTTCCCATGATACTACAGCAAGTCAAACTTAACACTCCAAAAGTAATTTGCAAGCAATACACTGGTGTAACTATTGTCTGCTTTATACCTATCATAAATCAGATGCTGCTTCAGATCCTTGTTGCAGTGTGTTTCATTTAAAGCATTCATCGAGTTGTGGAAATTCCACAGGGTATATTGATGCCAAGGCCTTTGTGCCAGAGGCCTGGCTGGCTTCATCAGACTGGAACAAAAATTACACTTCCCAGAGCTTTTTCTGTGCAGAATCGCTTTTCATTTGGCCACCTGCTGTGTGTGTGTTTTCATGAAACAGTGAAGGGGAATTCCTGTGGTACTTGCAGAACTGAGTGTGAGCCTTGGAATTTCCCACTGCTTCTTTACAGTTGTTAATTTAAGCTCTGATGAAGTGCTTACATCTGTGGCCTGTATGAAGCGATTTTTTTTTTTTTTGGTATTGTAACCAGTGAACTAGTGTTCTTGTTACAACTGTAGTTGTCAATTAGAGCTGAAGAATGTTTGAGAAACATTATATGTGAAAGTTGAACTTTTTGATGTACTGATACTGACAAGAGAAGTAGGGAAGGCATTTAAAATGTTCATCCTGTATGGGGGATGAGAAAAGCTACTCCTTGCCATTTTCACTGAAGATCCTTAATATCCCCCATGGTCTTG